CCTTTTCATCCTCGTCTTATTACTCTTGATTTAAAGAACCGTTCCTCGAAACACACATGTTTCTCTATATCTCTCTAAATATCTTATATTCTTTTGAGAAATCTCATATTCATTATTTGCAATTTGTAAATTGACTTCTTTTCAAAAGTTTGCTGTTATACCTGATTTTTATTTATTGATTTTGTCCGTATCTTACGATAAAAATGCTTATTTTGTTATACTTGTGTGATTCGCCTACGTATCTTACAATATTCCAGTTATTTTTAACTCTCTGAACTCTGTCGACAACATAAATTTTAATTCTTCCGCCAGCAACATGGGTCTTTAAAAATAAAAGTTTTTTTATTATTCTATGTATTACACAAAAGTCTAAAATAATTCTTATATTTTTAATCTACTTGTCAAAGCTATAATGAGATTTTACATAAAAGAATTATATTTTATTTATTTTTACAGATTTTTTTATCATTAGAAAATTTATATTAAAAATATTAGTAGTATCTCTTTAAAAATTTCAGTTTGGCGGAGGGTTAACTTTAATCATTCAAAGTAATTATAAAAGTTATAATAATTATAATAATTTTAATTTAATTAAATGTTTGGGATATTTTTTAAAATTTACTTCAATTTAATTTAACTTAATTCTTAATCAAATTTTTGCGGTTCATATATATAACTTTTTTATATAATTTTAATTTATATTTAATTTTATTTATTAATTTTTAACGTAATTACGTTAATTTTACATATAGTCTACTAACTTTAATTTTGAAAGTTAATCAAAGAGAGAGAGAGAGAGAGAGGGAGAGAGAAACCATAACTTATTCCATTCTTGATACATATATCCTTGATCACGTGAATGTTTTATGATCATATATGCATAAACATTGCTGAATGTTTCCCTGGCGTGATAGAAAGGAATACAGTCGGGATTGTTTATACATGAAGCGAGTTGCATCATGCGTGTGTCATTCCTTATCAACGAGAGTCATATGACAAGTCGGAGACCCTTTTAGTCAGCAAAACCGAGGAGAGGAACAAAGAAAAACCAGATGGATTTCGCTGCGAGATCCGAAAAATAAAGGCCTGCGTGTGTTCTAAAACATATTGAATTTCTCATCAAATTATCACGCAAAGTACGCGTGAGTGTTACACGGAAAGCGGAATAGCATAATAACGTCGCTGTTGTTTAACGCGTAAATTCAGTGACGCATTACGAGACGTTCACGTGGGGCACCAAGGTCTCCAAGTCGTGTCGAAATGTAGAAACTGTCATTACAGAATCGATAATATTTTGTTAATTATTAAAAATCGAGATAATTTTGACTACTACGTGATCTTTATTGCTATAGAAATAATGTTATTTCTTCTCGGATTATAAGTGTTAGATATATTTAAGAACGACGATTTAGTATTTAGGAATAATTTCCGAAAAATCTTTAATATATCTCGGATGTTATTGATTCGAATATACATTCGAGTATTTATGTTAAAGAAAAGAAAGGAAAAAAATAGAAAGCTCAAATGTGTACATTGAAAATAAATTTACTAAATCTTAAATATTGGCTGAGTGCAAAAATTTGTGCCCAATTTATTATTCGAACAGTTGTTATTTTTTGTTAAAAATAAAATAAAATCTAAATCTTACTCTATCTGATGAGAGAATTTAAGAATCTGTTTTTTTAATAACATAAATATGGTAGAGAGCGCCTAGGATCGGTCAAAGTTAGATGTTTCAAATAATATAATATTCTTGGTTCATGAATTTAATTTATCTCAAATGTGACTGTGCGCCGAAACATTCGGACATTTAAACACAATCAATCTGAGATACTAATTTTTTAAACTGTCTTTTTAAAATTGTGATGGTTTTGAGGGAGTTATGAGCACTCAAAGTATCAAATCAAAAGTATTCTTTTTATTTAATTCGCAACAACTCAGCAACAAAAAATCGTAGGGACATTATTTAAAAATGATTTTATTTAGGGAAAACTAAGCTTTTACATTAGAAATGAAAAAATTGCAACTTTTTTTGAACATGTGACAGGCCCATAAAGCGAAGAAAAAATTTCCTGTTTTGTTTAACTCGTACTTTTCTATATATAAAAATTACAAAACTCACATAAATTAAAAAAATATAGTAACCATTCGAAAATAGAGATTTCAAGCGTTAAAATCTTTTTTAAATCTAAATATCGTTTAATAATAAATTGGGCACGAATTTTTGCACTCCACCCAATAAATATTTCCTTGAATAGTACCAAGTAAACATTTATTTACAGTGAATGAATATTTATTTAGTAAAAAATAACAATTAAATCAAATTAATGATTTTTGTGTCAAATAAACATTTACTTACGGTGAATGAATATTGACTTAATAAAAAATGACAGTTAAATCAAATTAATGGTTTTTGTATCAAATAACATATGTTTACATTTAGTAAATATTTACTTAAGACCATTCGAACCAAAAATTCATTAAAATTAAATACTTTTTAAATAATATATTTTCTTAAATATTTAGTTAGTACCATTTGAACAAATATTCATTAAAATTTAGTAACTTTTTTTCAGTGTAACCTACGTGAAACATTGCAAGAAGCGTATGTCCCACGATTTCCTATGAGATATATAGAAATTTGAGATATAAGTATTCTAATCGAATATTATGATCGTAATCATCGCCGTTAAAGAAATTTTAATAACCGGCACAGTGCGGAGCCGAAAACTCCGGCGGCGTCGCTTCGGCCGGAATTGAGGCATCTCGCTCATCAATCGTATTTAATTGACGTAATAAGCAGTGCAGCGATCAAGCCGTAATAACGTGATGGGTGAAACACTATACTACACTGCACTAAGTGACGTGACGAAAAGTGACGCGTTGAACAGGCCGAAGCTGCGCTTTCACGTCTCGCACAAAGTATATAGGGCCGAGGGTAGGGCGAGGACTTACCGAAATCGATGAACTGTTTTATCGAGAGTGGCGAGGGGTTGAATTGCGAGTAGAAGTCCAACATCTTGCCGATGTTGCCGAGGCAGTTTCGTGTGAGCTTCATCCCGCGGCTTGTCGTTAACGTTACACATCAAACCCGGCACGATCGTGCTTGATCCGCTGCGCGTGTTGGATGAGCGGGGGGAGGGGAAGCGGACTCCGGTCGAGCTCCGACCGTTTCCGTAGCCGTGGAAGATCGTCGCAGAGGGAACGCCGCTCACGCTTTTTTCTCGGTGCTCGGTAGCGGTAGAAGATGCGCGAGAGACGGACCGTCGCGTCGGTGGTCGACACAACCAGCGCAACCGTAAGGAAATCGCGTCGACGAATGCTGAATACTGAGTATTCACCGCGGAGCGCGGTGCGGTATATGCGGGATTTGCGCCGGGCCGCGCATGCGCAACACCACTCCTTCCGACGTGACAGGGGAGAGCTCGTCATCGCGCGTACATTTAATTCTGCGCCTCGAGTTGGCAATCTTACAATTAGTTTTTCAATAATTAGGGAGAGTGCTTTCCATTAGATGCACGAGTTGACAACAAGGGCTCTCGAAATTCAAAGTAATGATAAAATTAGTATACGGGCATCCCTGATGAAAATGAAAATCGGAGCGTAAATCGGATGGGAGAGTAATGGGCCTTTTACAATAAGTCATTAGTCATAAATCAAAAGTCAGAAACTAAAAATGGACGACTGTGATTGGTCAATTTTTAGCTTCTGACTTCTGATTTATGACTAATGACTTATTGTAGAAGGACGATAATAGAAGCGTAAACGAAACTTCTAGAAGGCGAACAATGAAACATAAAAGAAGCATTTACATTTTGATGCTTCAATTTTCGTCTTCTAGAAGTTTCGTTTACACTTCAGTTACTCTCCCATTACATTCGACTTACGCTTCGATTTTCGTTTTCATCGGGGAATGGTCAATACAGCGGTAATCATTATATTTTTTTCGACACTCAGAAATTAAGTAACAGAAATAGAACGATACTGTATCACCAAATGGAAAGGCCACCCAAAATTATTCTGAAGTTTCTAAATACCCAGGAAAAATGTTATATAAATGGATATATTTTATACATGTATAATTATATATAATTGTACATAAAATATGTCAATTTTTTACATAACTATATATAATTTTATATGAAATATTTTTTCCCGGGTAATAATCATGTTTTGAAAGACAGTAGAGAAAGACAATATATAGTCACTCTTAGTACATTTGATTGAACTTCAGACCCTACAAAGTTTAACTCTTAATATAATTGCAGAGAGTTCTATAAGATACCTGGAGGTTTTCCAATTTTGAATGTTTGATGCGTTTGAAAGTACCGTCATTTTTCCAACTTCACGCAAATCGTTTTCAAGTTATTTTGTGGAACAAGCGTTACTCCAGGATTCAAAAGATATTTTTGACAAAAGAAATCCACGTAAACGGCAAGTATACAAATATATTCCAAGCATAGAAACAAGCAACACCCTTCTGCATTCCGTCAGCCAAAAAAGACAATCACAGTTCGTAAGTGCGTTCTGTTTCGACCATTCGATCATTCATATTCCGGAAGTGACGTTTGGCGCCACCTGTCGTCCCCGTAATGACACGGGGGAAACAATTAACCTTTACGTTCTTGCGCGCCTCGCACGGGAAGTTCCTTTCATCGGAGGTGAGCGACCGGCGAGAATTCGCGTCGCCGACTGGTCGGCGTGAACGCATTCCTCACCCTGGACTCGCGAATGTGTCGAGAGACAGGCCGGTTGTCCATCGTGTGCGCGGCGAGACGCGTAATTTCGAGGTTAGGAGCACTCGTGTTCGGAGCGTCCAATCTTCTGCTGGACGGACGACGCGCCCCACGCGACCCGCGCGATTTTGCGTTCCGTCGATCGAGGGGAGGGACGAGTCGTGGTCTGCGCGAAATATCGGCAGCGTCACGAGACGAGTTTCCCCTCACTGTTTTTCGAGTCAGCGAAAAATATTGCCCGCGCAATCGACTCGTTCCCTCTCGTCTTTCTCGAGCGCGCTTTTCAGGCGCGCGCTTGACTCGCGCGTCGGCGAAGTCGGCGCTGCCGATTTCCGGCGGAGGCAAGCCCATGTGGACGAGCGCAGCGGATACCACGATCAGTCCGTGATCAAGCGTGTTCTCAGCGTGTCTGCAATCGCACGTTCTTACGCGTCGCAGATCCATCTGCCCCTCCGGTTGTCCCACGCCACGCCATCCGGACTCCGTCGCGTCGCCATGGCAGACCTGGACGATTTTTTCGCCAAGAAAGACCGAAAGAAGGCCAAGGGCAAGAAATTCGCCACGACCGACGAGGTCGCTAAGAAACTGGAAGAAACGGGCAAACGGGTCGAGAAGCCGAAACCGAAGGAGAAGCCAGCGAATCCCGAAGGCGAGGAGTCTCAGCACACCGAGGTAAGGCGTTGACAGGGATAGCGACGGGAACGGTGGTTTCCTTCCACGCGGTTTTTTTTTTATCCCGGAATTCCGGAACCTCGTGTCTACGCCACGGCGCTGCCATGTTTGTTCCCACGAAGGGGGAACGGTCGCGTGGAAAAGCTGACGGCGATGACGCGCGACGTTCCCGGAAAGTTCCCCGGACGTCTCGAAACGCCTTACGTAATCATCGGACGTGCCGGATCGCTCACGCGCGTTTTACGGCAGCTGTTTCACGTGCACGTGTTCTTTGGAGCTTCCCCCCCCCCCTTCCCTCCTTCTTCTGTAAAAGGAAAAATGGGTTGGATGTTGGATTCCTCGTAAATACTTGACAAGAGGCAAAATATGCAATGTGACAATTAACTGAACATTTTCTCGTAATTTTTCGAAAATTGTATAATAATTCTTGAAAATTGTATAATAGTTGCGTTAAATGTGTAAGCATTACGAGCTGTAAAGTATTTTATCACGAGTTACGGATATAATATGCATGAGATATAATTACATGATTTGCAAAAGACTTGGTGAATTGCTGTAGTGATAGTTTGAGGTAAATTAGGAAGCAAGAATATGTCATGAGTGTATTTTATTTTTAGGATGAAGACGAATGGAAAGAGTTCGAGGAGGAGAAAAAGGATTATAGTGGTTTAAAAATCGGACATTTAACAATAAATGATAGCGTTGATGCAGAATCGGATGACGAGAGGGGTACCTTTGAAATCAATTCTGATGGCGAGATTGGCGAAGGTGGCACAAAGTACACGGGACCATGGAAGAAACCAGATTTACCACCAGAAACACCGGAGGTGGTGCCGACACCGCCCGCACCCCCTGTTGAAAAAAAAACCGCCGCCGCCGCCGCCTCCACTGGAAGTAGTTACAAAGCACCACACTTACGAAATCAACCTACATTCGCTAGTCCGCGACCACGAGGGAGAAATGTCGCACCCGATATAAATAGCGAGGAATACTTCCCTACGCTGAACTCCAAGCCCCAGCAGCAAAATAATGGCAGCGGTCCATGGGGCAGACGGTAAGATGACAGCAAAGTCTTCGTAGTAATGTTCCATTAGCTTCGGAGCAAAATGTTTATTTTCATGCGAATGAAAAGGAAAAATAACGTTGAGTTGCAGCATCGAGTGATATTGAGTTCAAATATATGGCGAGTGATTTTAATTACAGACGGCGAGAAGAAGGAGCGTTTGAGGAAGTTCGTAACCGAGGTGGCAGTAGATCGTACAACGTACCAGAATCGCAAGCTCAAACACCCAAGCTCTCGCTTGGCAACAAGTACGGCGCCTTGTCGCAAGATCAGAGCTGAAAATGCCTGTCTCGATGGAATCAAACAACATGCAATCAATATCACATCGTCGCCCCTCCCTGCTTCATGGCCCAACCTCATCGAGAAAATCTATTTTCTAGACTAGGACGCAGTGTATATTATAGAACGTGTATGCACGTACACACGTCCCAACTTCGTGAAATTCCGAGGATGCTAATTCCGGTTCTCTCGTTGGCGATTCTGAAATGATCGCGGGACGGATCGTCGATCCTAGGTATTTGCACACACGTGCGCTCATGGACCTTGTAACTAACTCGAAATGAATATCGCATGTGCGCAAGCTTATTTTCATACCGTATAGACGTGGTTGGAAATCGATTTTTATATTTGATTTTGTAATCAGCATAGTGTGTAGTATGCTGCTTCCAAGAAAGCGCCAGGACGATAGAAAAATGGATTCCGACGTTCGAATCCTCAAAAAGAAAAAAAAAAGAAAAAAAACAACGGCGGACCGGAACAACGTTGTTACCGCGAGTATATGTTATCGTTACGCGCGGATTGTAGTCTAAAGAAAAAGTATCGTTCGTTAAGGTATTTTATGTATATTCGCACTTTCTTTTTTTTATACGGTGCTACTTTTAATTTAGCGTGCATAATTACTGCCACGATCGATGCCTTCTCATTGAGTATTATCGATGTAAATAGGACTGATCACGTTGACGTCCGAACACGATAAGCTTCGAGATCGGCACGATAACGTCGAGATCGAAATTCACGTCATTAATCTGAGCGATTCTGTGTGAGAGCTATCTTTGAATAACAGTCTCGAAGGATCGCGAGATGCTTCTTGGATCCTTTCTCTTTCTCTCTCTTTCTCTCTGTCTCTCTCTCTCTCTCTTTTTCTCTCCACTTTCGAAGGAGAGTGTCGCTTCGCTCAAAATGGCAACGTGGGTCAACGAACGAAAATTTTTAGATAAATTAAGCTATAAATATATATATATTGTATGTATATTATTAATCAAATTTCGTGGGGCTGGGCTTTCGAACGGTGCGGAATCAATAAGGGTAACGACGAAATAACACGAACGCAACTTTGAGTGAGGGTAACGAGGGGCAAAATAGTTAATTAAAAACCTAAAACACAAGCTACCGTGTCGCAGTGGTGTTGTGTACAAAATAATAGGAGGGAGAAAGACATACGCATACACTCGTGTTGAAACATAAAATGGAAATCCTATGTACGCCTTTGTTGACATTTGTATAATTCTCTTTTTGTTGAAAATAAGAGTTTCTTTCTCACGATAAAGAGAATATGCGGCAAATAAATATCGATTCCGTTTCTTGGGAGACGGTTTCTCGTTGTTGGCGGATCCTCCTCGGCGGGGTGACGCGTGTTATTACGCAATGAGGGGAATGCCATACGGAAACGGTAGATAATAATAAGAATTCTTGTATAGCGTGTGATAAAATGTGATTATTTATAAATAAATTTCTTAGGATAACTCGTACGTACTGCCTCCGAGCATTTTTTTTTAATTTGCCGTATCGTATATTATCGATCGACCAATTCCCGAAGCGCAGCACACGATTACTTAATTGTGTGCGCGAACGATCTGGCCGATCGTCTTTTTATGAATACGATCCATAGATCGGAAATACGTCGGCAATGGAGTTAACATCGCATTAATTGTAGCGCCAGGAGAAGTTTAATTTAAGCACGTGGCGAAAACGCGCAATACCGGTGCCTCTTGGAGACAGTTTCGATTTGATTTTGATCGTCGCGGCAACGCGGACTAGCCTGCCCTTTGTTACAGAATAGTTGAGATACAATAATTTTATCGCTACTGTTACATGAGAGCGAGCGATAGAATGACAGGAAGTGAGAGTGCGCGAAAGTGTGGGATGCGAGCGTACGTGACGTATTTAATAAAATTCAATCACACCGAGATACTTCCATGTTTCTTCCGTTCCTTCATTTTCAAAATCCTATTTTATATGTCACTGTCGTTTAATTCTTTCTTCTCAAAAATTTAAAAGAATGGATTATTACGTTGTCAAGGGAATATCAGACTCACAAAATGTATCTTTATCTTTGTTTCTTTTTTCTCAAAAGGAAGGGATAGTAAAGGAGTATTAAAAGGAACTTGTAAAAATTCGTAAAGATTCATACATACATCGTTCCAGTACTTCACGCGACATCTTTGCTTTGCTCAGCATATACGCCACATTTAACAGCATGAAAACATCGACAGATTTTTTTAATCTTGTATTTTTTACAATCTTATTTTTAAAACCATAAAGATTGTAAAATTAAAAAAAGTAATCGATTTTTTTATCAGTCAAAATATTATAGAATACAATTGTATCACAAATATGAAGCTGTATACATATATATGTATAATTAGTTGTGTATATATATATATATATATATATAAATTATTTTTATTTAATTATCCGGAAGAGATGGAGTTGCTTCCTCTTAAAGACATAGCTTTGAAACTTTATGCCACTGTGCGTAGGATTATACATAACAGTCTTCTAAGTTACTCATTGTTTTCTGCCGTCATTTTCTCCGAATTTACAAGGATTAACGGTATCTATTGTGAGAGTGCTCGTCATGATTGCGCACCCAATTGAACATTTAAAGAACGTCATCGAGGCTCGCTGCCTCCTCGTAGCTGCAAAGAGACAAAAGTTGTCGGCAATGATTTATAGCACCTCTTTTCTGTGATCGTAGGACGGATCGCGAACATACTTTTCGCAATACTTCTGCCCATGACTTCCGTTGTTAGAGTAAGATTCGTACATGGTATCGTCTAGTAAAGAGGATTTGAATTTTGGCAGAAAGTATATCCAGGCTTTCGTCGACTCACTGGCCTAAAAGGAGTAGGTTCGTCAGAAGAAAAGTATAGATGTCTGCTGCATATATTTTGGCAAAAATAAAAATCGGAGTGTAAGCTGAATATAAAAAGAAGAGTGACAGAAGTTCAAATAAAGCTTCTAAGAAGTGAAAATTAAGACAACAAAACGTAAAAGAGGCGTTTATATTTCTTTTATGTTTCGTTGTCTCAAATTTCGCTTCTTAGAAGTTTCGTTTAGCCTTGAGTCACTGTCTCCCCTTACATTCGATTTACGCTCTGATTTTTATTTTCGTCGGGATACGTGCGTAAGTCGAAAAGTTCATTACCTCCTCAAAAGTTTTTTTAGGATTAAGCGCAGCCTCCGACGCCAACAAAACTGTTTCTTCCGTTCGCTCGTAAAACCGTGGATGTTCTTCCAACTCGTCCAATCTCTTCAACATGCTGGAATCTACATCGTATATCTCTCCCAACACGTACTGTTTAAAAGAAACGTTCTGTTACAATATTGATATTACGTAACATTACTCCAGTCAGAAGTAATAATGGAATCGACGTCGATTCGATGTCTGACTGGGACACGAATAAGAATTTTTTTAATTGAAATTAAAATCACAAGCAGTAAGGATATAATTAAAGTGGACGGTAATGAAAGATTTAAACCAATTTAATTCAAGGACTTCCCCTAGTAGTACAATTCATTAACAATACACTGTAAACATTAGCATACATTATTGAGAGTATATTGGACTCAATATATTACGCCAATGAATTGTACTACTAAGTTCCTTCTCAACTCACGTTGCCAGTATTGGGTTTTTTCAGCAGCAACGGGATGTTATACTTTGTGCCGATCACCAAAGGATACTGGACCGTTGTTTTACCGAGGCCTAGGAACTTGGCGTAGCCATTCGCGGTGTCCTTCATGAGGCTGTGATTCGGCTCGCCTCGTTTCAACGTGCCATACACGAATACGCGGTGCAGCGGACTCTTGAACAAGTTTTCGTACATTTTCGAAAGTCGCGGATAACCAGATTACACGTAACTTCCGGCTAACACCATTGCACCCGGATGCGCCGGTGGGTTGTTGATTTATTCGCGTCGATTTCGCGCGGCGATTACGTCACGTTCGTGCGACCTAATCTAGAGATAAGTCTTATCGATAAGAATTACACCATCAAGACCGAATTATTACTTCACGTTTTATAGTACGTTTTATAGTAGTCGTGGAATGTTAAGACTATATTTCAAAAAGTATTTTTCGAATCTCTTGGAGAACGTTTAAGATTTGCGAGTCATATAGATTCGATCGTAAGAAAACGGAGACCTTAACATTATAACAGTACAATCGATATAACTAGTCGGAACACTCTGCGCTAGTTGCGTCGGCACCTTTAATCTCCGCGTGGAGGTCACGTGATCATATATCGTCCAAGGCTGCGTTCCATTTCACGCATGATGCGCATGATGCGCATTTTATCTTTCTTTAATATTCGGTGAACAACAAAGACAAAAGGATATGACATGCATATCATGTGTGAAACGGGACGCACCTTTAATGTCAGGACCGAACAAAGGAATAATTTATTTTTCAAAGATAACTGTAAAATGTATGTTCGCATTCTATTTCATTGAATCTAACCAGAAACAAAAGCCAGTGATCCAAATCTGCGACCACGCACTTTTGCACATTTTTTCGTGGAGTGTTTCTTATGCTGGTTATATAACTGTAATACAATTAAGCAGCATAAAGCGGCGTTTCCAATGAGATTTTTTAAACATAAGAAATTGACCAATCATAGTCGAATATGAAGAAAATAAAGCGATTATGATAGGTCAATTTTTTTACGGCTTAAGGTTTAAAGCTTAAGCTTCACGCCTTAAAATTTCATTGTAAACGCAGCTTAAGCTGACGCGACAGATAGAATATCGACGCTAGATGTCAGTGTTATCAATTGGCGCGATTATTTAAATTTAGAATTATCTCCGCCATACAAAACATTATTTGATTCCTAATGTAAAATCGAATAGAAAGCATGAGTAGAGCTTTATTTTGATTTTATTAAATCATTTTTTTATTGCATGCACATTTTTCAATAAAAAATCACTTTTTTTATTCAGCTATGCCGCCGCACGCGACATACAAACTACTTAACTCCACGATTTTATATTTCACACTTTTATTTTATTTTTTTATCACCCTTACACACGAATATCGACATACACAAAAGTAGCGATCACAGAATGGATTGCAATTTTAATAACTTTACAGAAAAATGCTTGATTTTTAAAACTATACGTAACATACAACATAAATGCGCGATATGGATTTTACAATATATCGTACTTCGTTATTGTAACGTCGATACGACTCGTTACCTCGTCTGATAAAAAATCCATATCCGAATTCTTCTTCGGCGGAAGGGAGTAAAAGGAATCCAGCTCTATAATGGCGATATTAACGAGCACAGCAACGGTAGCGATGTGCAGTAACATTTTCGCGAAGTGCAACGACCGAAAGTGACAATGCAGTCTCGTTGTGGTACGGAGCTCATGCTCGGATACCCTCGATACAGAGGGTATCGTGTACTGAGCATTGAGATAAGATAAGATTTTCATCCAATAAGATCTCCGAATAATTGCATCACTGATCATACCACCCCATATGTGTGATGAGCTCAGTTGGAGAATCACGAGTCAGATTTAAATGTATGGAATCCCTGCAGAAAAAAAAAGAATTCCTAAATTGATAATTTTGCTGGAAGAAGTTATGCGAAGTCAGCACCGTCTGACTGAATGAAATTGCAGACAACATTCTTTATACGATATTCACAATACAACCCTTTCTTTCAATCTCCTTTTCTTACTAATCTCCTGTATAATATAATAAACTGTAATAAATAAACGAATACCTTTCTACAACAATGTGACCTTAACTCATGTAACTTGCACATCTTTGCTTAAAAAAATTAAAGTAAAATAATCTTTGTATAGAATTAAATAACTAATTAAAAAAAAATAAATTAGCACTGATTTTTGAAGTCTCAATTAAAAATATTTTAAATAGAATAATATTAGAAATAAAGAAGATCGAAGAGAATAATCGATTAAGGGAAATTATAACCGTACACTGATTTTGTCCCGTAAGATTTCGCTTTCAACCGATACGATGGAATCTTTGAGGTCTTTAAAGTCCACATCTCGAATCGTTTGATCCTTCTGTCGTCTGCGACACAAAAGTTCTTGAAACGTTATCCAGTCTTCATCCTTCTCGATGTCATTATCCTATATAATCACAAGGACAAGAAAGTTGCAAAGTAAAAATATCCTGAATATCTGATCCTCATATGATTTAAAAAAAGATTACCTCCAAAAATACATGTAGCAACCCTCTGCTGTAATTACCTAATAGCATATAATTCTGATAGTGCAGACATGACACCAGTTTTTTCAACGTCTTATTTGTCAGGCGATTAACTAGATACAGATACGTGATTTGTAGTAATAAGTTGTTCGTGTCCAAGAAATCAGCCGATATGTACATGTATAATATAAAAGCAACTTACAACTTAGGCTCAAGTGTTGCAAATTCAAATTTCCACTAGTGATCACACAGCCGTTTATTGCTATTGTTTCTTTTGTAAATGGATGACCAATATCGTTGTCCGAAAGCTTTTTCGAGATCTACAAATATATTTTATTATGTTTTACACCTCTTAATGATATATTATGAAACATTAATGATATATTAAAGAACAATAATAAAAATTCTATTAAAAATACTTGAATAGAGGTGTTCGATATCGACGGAGAATTAGGTGGGATTCTCATCTTTGATGAACTATCTTGACTCGCTGTATTTTGAAAGCTATCATGAAACGAATTTTAAAACAAATTGCAGGGAAGCACTAAATATACTTTTTATAGAATTTTGAAGTAGATTTTGGTATTGCCATGTTCCATTTTCTCTCCGTTGCTCCCTTTCTTGAGTATCTCGACTGTCCAACTGTAATAATAATAATCATTAATTTATTAATAAACAAAGTAACGGCAAGATGATCTATCAACCTTGCCCTCCAGCTCGATAAATCTGCGACGTCTGAGGCCGACAATTTCTTCGTGAGTCAAAGTGGACCTATCGCGTCATGTTATTAAAGATAGCGGCCTAAATTAAGAAATTTGTCTAATTTAATCGCTACTGTCAAAGATATACATGACAAGTTCCTGAATTATCAGTGAAGCTCCGTCGTCTTGTATCTCGTTTCCGGTTAACACCACGCTCTGCAAAGATCTACAAACATGTCAGCGAACGTTTATTAAAACTACTTTTGCGCAGGGACATATTAATATCCATCAAATTAGAATTCTGAGAAACATTTAAAAACTACACAACCGATTAGTTCGAAGCATCTCAGCGATATACTCGGCACCAATGTCCGTAATGTTGTTATCCGCCACATTGAGAGCGATCAATTTTGGGTCGTTTGGTGGGTCTCGATACTTCAACTCGTTTGCGATCTTTTGTATACCGTTATCGGATAATTTACACATCCTCAGTGACAGATAGCGTAAACTGGAACATGCATTTTTTCGTATAACTTATAAATGAAGCGAGAATTATATTGGATGGGATTATATTGAAATTCGCAATGTACTTTTTTGCCGGTGCACAAAGCAGATAATAATTTTCCTGCGGATTCGGATTGTCATCTAAATTCAAATCGTTCAAACATTCAAATTCCGTCAGCATCTGTGTTATCTGCAGGATACCATAGGCATTTATCTGACAACTGGGTAATCTAGAACACAATTATCAGTTGTCACAATATCAAATTACATGCTCGATTTTCAAATTTTGTCTTACTTAAGCACCGTGATAGTGTTATATTTCTGCAGCGTAGTGTTCAATGCATCGAGGATGCAAATCGACACTTCCTGTCGTGCAACATAAAAAAACGTTACAAAGCACATAAAGGTAAATGTCACAAACGACACAATTAATTGTAAATTTGATAATTAGTAAGCATTAGTGTATCTTCACGACTTATCTTTACACTCTAGTTTCCGCAAAGTCTCCATTTTTTTAGGATTTTCGAAAGAAACGTAAAAAATAGGGATATTCTTGTCCATTTTGATCCTGATTAAAATAAACGTGAATTTCAAAATCCGAACACTAAGGAATAGTCGGAATACTCATAGCGAATTTGGTTAGATACTTTAATGCATTGATGCATATTAAAGCCATAGCACATTGATCTAGTTTGAGTGTAAAAATAAAATAAAAATATCTTGAATGATAAAATGCACCCTGAACAAATCACGTCACAAAGTTACATAACGAAACCATGTAATTAAAATATGTAAATTATGTAATGAATTGTTTCAAATCAGTATATGATTTTTTAAAATCACATAATTTAAAGTCATACGATATGTTTTTTTTCTTCTATTTCTATCATATAATCATTAAAATTTTGATAATTATAAAATCATATGATACATGAAAGTATTTCTAATATGTGATTTTTAAAAATTACGTCATCTAAAAAAAATCATGTACTAATTTGGAACAATCTGTTATGTCATTTACCTGTTTTAATTATATGATATAATTATGTAACTTTGATGTGATTTTTTTCAGTAGGACATATTTTACCAAACAGCACAAAAAAGTGTATTGAGGATTTCGCAATTTAACCCATTTATATATTTTATATTAAATAGAAATCTTTACATTGATTTGTGTACGATGACTTTAATGTGTCAAATTAGTTTGTCAAATTCATTATTACTTTTCTGATTCAATCTTCGCGTATTGCTCTGTGCCATTTTTGATCTATAAAAGAACAATTTCTATAATAAAAATTAATTATACGGATTTATTATAGATTTATACGGTAATATTTATGGAAATTTACTACAAAACTAGGTAACGATTCTATGTCGTATTCCTTGCAATGCGTCAAAAACTCCGTAATAAAATTTTCTTGAGAACTCCTTCTCGAATAATCTATTTTATAGCAAATAATATTAAAAATTTAATGTATTATTTATTGTAATAATTCTACAAACGTTTGTATTCTTCTTTAAACTCCTTATAACTTTTCTAACAAAAATACTAACTGTTTATTGAAGATTCTCGGTCTTTTATTGACGCAGCGTGCTTGCTTTTTCTGCTTGACATGTTTAACCTCCTAATATTATTTGTTCTGCGATTTCTATTGTGATAGAAAAGAAACAAAATGACAAAAAGCGCATGAAAAGCGTTCTATATATAATGGTCGCTTTCAACAGAAGTCAGCATTTAATAAACGCTTTGTGTCGAGATTAGATTATACTTTTAAATCTAAAGAAATAACCTTATTTCAACAAAGGAAATTTCCAACTGTTGTAAAATAAATATTATACTGCTGAACACCATCAAAATTATATATATATGACGAATTGTGCTGTTTGGTAAAATATGTCCTACTGAAAAAAATCACATCAAAGTTACATAATTATATCATATAATTAAAACAGGTAAATGACATAACAGATTGTTCCAAATTAGTACAATGACGAATTCGGGATTTTAAATCATGAAATTACAAAATATCGATTTACAAAAATTTGCTTATACATATATGAGGGGATTTAAAAAAAATTATTTATTTCTTATACAAAAAAGTATAATTTTTTACGATAATTATATAATAAGCCCCTCTCCCTTTTCAATACACTTGGTGCATTTACAAACTTTAAAATATATAAAAAAAATTTTTTTTACTGGAATTGTTGGGTTACTATTATTATAGATTTTTTCAAAATAGAAATTCTTTATTTTTAATATTTCGTCTTATAATCGAAACAAGTCGACCTTTTACGCGTGTTATATTCGCAGGGCAATGGCGCCTAAGGCACCCCTTATCGCGAACATGACATGTAATCTGATGCTTGGGAAATATAGGGGTGATCAACCCCTATGAAGCCACGCGTAAAAGAGGGGTAAAAGGGAGAGATGGGGAAAAGCCTTCGGGAAAAGTATTGAACGAACTTTGATGCGTGGTTGCGTAACAGAAGGCGGCGAAGATCGAGTCGCGTGATAAAGACTGGCTCTGTCGGGCTTTGTGGGATTAAAGTCTATAATTATGGACGCTGCGGATGATTACCAAAATGATTTGTGTCGGGGGCCCTAATGGCGCCACAAATGGCGGCCGTGAAACTCTTGGGTTCAATCGATGACACATCTCGTGCTATGATGGGACAAACGGCAAGCTGTGTTAAATCGATGTCGCGCGTGCTTGACCAATAAAACAAAATTAGATCATAAATCTTTATAGGAAAGTAGAAAGAAAATACCACTAAAGAGTTTTTCATAAAAACCTAACAAGTCCAAAAGTTAATTTTTCAAGAAACAAAAATTCTTTTCATTTTCGAAGCATTCAGAAATTCGTGGTAAAGCTTTCTCTGGCACATAATAGATATAAAAAAAAATTTTTAATTTTGATAAATATTTCAAAGACCCTCCAAAAAAATAAAAATTTTTGAGCTTGTTTATTCTTACGAAAATTTTATATTTACTATTATTTAATTATATTTTTACATTTATCTTTTTTTTATAACATTTACAATGATAAAGGTATAAAGAAAGAAATATTTCAAGTATGAAACAATTCTTATATTTTTCGTTTGATTCTTGCTGTAACAAAATTATTCATCGCTATTGATAAAGAACAATTTCACGCCATAACCTATTTTTTTTTAAAACAGACATGTTTAATCTTTGAGGGAAATCCTTTTATATCACACACATGCGTCGTGCTAGTTTCACAACTGCCGCAGATTATACACTCGAAAACTCCTCCAACTTGTCGAAACATCAATGAAGAGTTTGACTCACTCTTTTAATTTTTTAACATACTGAATTGCACGTTAAACAATAATGTGTGAGCATTTATCTGAATAATTAGGTCACTGTCGAATTAGAATTGCACATTGTCCTATGTACAGTTCGAGCGATGAGAGTTGCGAAGTTATTTAAAATACATGTAAATAACACGTTTGCCTGATTCCGCTGCGTTTTTTATCCCGGACGCGCCTTCAAAAATTGTGGTTATCACCCTGAACGAACATTCGTTGTCTCGTTCGTGATTCGTCTTCTCGAAACGATATTTATCACGTCCGATTCTGCCCCCGCTTATATGCGGCGGCTAAGTTCGCGTCTCGTTATACTGTCGCTCCGGCGAACGCCGCACGTTCTTACTTCTTCAGTCGTGCCCCGCGCTTCCAGTGAGCTGCACGCGAGGTGGATTATGCGCGCGTTTCGTGTCCGCGATTAAGCACGATCGAAGAATCGCGCGTGTTCCACCGAAACAATAACTTCCGGTGTATTTTTTCGATACGCTAAATCACGAAACGTTATACTTGTCGATGAGACGCCGGTCTTGTCCAGAAACCGTGCTGGGTCAAACACGGAAGACGGGCGGCGAAAAGTAAGCCACACTGTTGTCCAATTGTTGTCGCTTTTATTATTCTATAATTGCAGTTTCTTCATTATGTAATATTACTGTTAAGGAATATTATAATTTTTAATCTTCAAGCAGCGTTCTCCGCGAAATTCCTGACGGAGGAATTTCGACGAGACGAAAAGTGAGCCGCATTGTTCTAATTATTGTCGCTTGTATTATTCTACAATTGCGGATTTTTAGTTTGTATGATTAGTTTACTATTACGGAATCTTCTAAGGAATTTTACAAGGAATTTTTCAAAAACAGCGTTCCTCGCAAAAGTTGTCGACGAAAGAATTTCAATGAGACGAAAAATAAGCCGCATTGTTCAAATTACTGTTTATTCTATAATTGTAGTTTCTTAATATTATGTATTATTTAAAAAAGATCGTAAAGAACATAATAATTTTCAATTTTTAAGCAGCGTTCTCCGCTAAATTCCCCCAGGGGAATTTCGACGAGAATAATAATTATTTTGCACGAGATCCTCGAGTTACTCGGCGAGATCGGAGCAAAAGAAAAATGTACGGCCAATCCGTTGCGGAAGGGATTAAGGGATTATCATTACGAGGAGTAAGGATTCTCGTCATGCAGAATCATCGCTCGCTCGCTCGCGTTCCGCGAGTCTCTCACCGATTGCATCGATTTACGAGTGTTTACATCACGATGTCAGGGGCGCGCCGTAATCACCCGGTATTATGAATTATGCACCCCGGGGTGGTTTCGAATTTCCCCCCCAGTCCGCTTCGTTCCTCTGCACGCGGGAACACGGCTTGCTGTCCGCGCGCGATCGTTAATATTAATTTCGGGCGGCGCTAAATTGGTACAAATTGCGACGTCAATTAAACCGCTTTGTCGTTGGTAGTTATGCTTCATGGACCAACCGGCAAGTTTCCATTACTCTGGCTGGTTGGTCTTCTTGTTCTGTAATTCTTCGGAACTTGCCTATTCACATTTACGTTTGCATTAAAAAAATATTCGATGAGTGATGTAAAGTAAGATACATAGATGAAATTTAATTTGCAGACCGAATCATGATGGAATTTGATTTTCCTCGTTGCTCATTGTTAGTGAAATGGGATAGTCCGTTGACAAGGATATTCGTTGCAATCGTTGTATTCCGTTTACGTAGGAATTTCTTGATTTTTTTACAGCTAATAGAAAAATATATACATCATTCGAAACAGATCGCGACTTCAGAATCATAATAGTTATAATGAAATATTTTATTTTTTTTTTCATTTTAATAACGTGAGAAAGAGAGAAGGAAAATTTAAATTAATCTTACGTTTTTATCCAAGTTTTAAAATTTCCGCGGATTCTCCATTGAGTAGTTTTTGCATCGGGTTTCAGTAAAGCGCAAAAACGTGGAGAGATCGTCCGAGATCAAATCGTATTTCCAGATGTTGCCGATGCAACTTGGTGCAGCAGTTGCCGATGCAACTCGGTGCAGCCGGTCGATCGCTTGTTACCAGCCGCTTTTATAAATTCACCTTATTCCTTTTTTTTTCCAACGCGGAAGGGGGCTGCTTGTTCTTCTTTTTCTTTGAGAAAGGAATGCGGGCGACTTGCGTCTAGAGAGCGACTGATGGAACAAAAGGGTGTTCCCCGTTTGTTATGGGGACCGGGTCTTTTCTTTTCGGCTCTCAAGTGGGTCAGGCAGTGATTGTACATACAAGACACGAATGAATCGAAAAAGTTAATCGGAAAGGTATGAGAGTACTTGATAAGAATAGAAGAAAAGAGAGATTTCAGAAAAACACGTTACAATATTTGTATATACAATAATAATTATTGTTAGTAAAAATCTTCAAAGAATTGCATTCTGCTCACAATCACTCTATCGTTGAGAGATACGACGAACGACTGTTGAAAGCACCAATTGATTCAGATTCTGTAATGCATGGAACCTTTCACATCTCTCTTCGGACGATAACAACGTTTCTTATATATATTTTTTTTTCATTAAAAAATAAAACCTAAATGATATTTGTTCTTTGTATTTTGAACAAAAACGATTGTACCGAATTAGAGAAATAAAATTCAAGTGATACTATTTTTCATTAAAAAAACAAGTGATATGAATTTTTATACCTCGAATAAAAAAATTGCATTAAATTAAAAATGAAACTCATAGAAAAATAAAACTTAAATAGTAATATCTTCACTCTAAGTTTCTTGCAGTGAAATCTCACTACGAGAAAGTGAAAATACGATCACCCTTCACTTCTTGAAAAAGTGTGACAATTTTTAGTCACTTCACTTCAAAGGAGTGAAATCTCACTTTTTTGGAATGAGATTTCACTGCAAAAAATTTAGAACGTTTGCATTCCATTGAACGCAAACTTCTTATTCCAATCCAAGTAATAGCTTTAATTCTTCTTAAAAAACCTATAATGATATTATAAAATTGCGAAAGGGATGGAGCAAGAAATTCTGTGAATAATGCGAATGTATTTTCATCCTCTGCATGTTAAAGCGACAGTGATTATGAATCGAAATCGTAAAGTGGATTCTCACGAGTGTCACGCCCACTTTATCGGGAAATCCGCTCTTCTCTCCTTCGAGAACCCCTTCCTCAAGGAGTAGCGTCACGCATGGGCGCGCATTATTTAAGTCGACGTCCGCGAACGATCGTTAAAATGCGCCGTGTGTTCCGTTTTCACGCAAATGCGCGAGCCGGCCGAACACGTGGCGAGCGGGCAGAAGAATGAGCTGTAGGGAAGAGTAATGACCGCCAATCGAATCGGCTACTTTTACGAGCGTGAACATTTAATACGCTCCTGATAGGAATAAGGAGGAGGAAAAGAGAATATATACGAGTTTCACGAATGTCTGGTCGAAACGAGAAGATGGGGAAGCCGAGGAAAGTACGAAGAGGATCAGCTTTAAGATAACGATTTTACGATTCGCTCTCTTTTTACTCTCCGCTAGAGCGTTTCTCATTTCTGATTTCTGAGAATTCTAATTTACAAACAGGATATTTCAAACGAGAGTTTTTAATTTATGGAAGATACAGTTCCGTGTAATCTCGTACCCTTTTAGCATATCGAGCTTGTATTGTCCGTCGTGAATTTTTCGCTCTTTCGCAATCAAGTCGAACGGAAGTGGTAGTAACCCACAGAGGAACAAGCAGTTGAAACGTTTTACATTCCGTGGGTGTTTTCTCTCTCTCTCTCTCTCTCTCTCTCTCTCTCTGTTTCCTTTCCCTCCCACTCTCGTCGGTCGCTCTTCTGTCTATTACTTCTATCTTGTCCTTTCTTCCTAGCCTTCTCTCCACGCTGGTCCGAGTCCAGCATAGCCAGTCGCTGTGTCATCGAGGCTCGATACATCATAAATATAAATTGGTTGGGCGTTCGTGCGTGTGCACGCATAAATGAAGCCGCCTGCGTGCGTGCGTGCTCCCGGCAACGTTAGAGAATGTTAATGCTATCCGGCAGCGATGCTCGTCAAAAATGATAAACAAATTCACCTTAGTGGTCGGGAGTTTCGTATTAACACATCCTTTCGTAATCACAGGAATTTAACAGGGGGAGTAATCAAGAAGTATCTAATTTTCTGCGAGAAACCAGTCTTTTCCCTTTTGCCGCAATTTATATATTCAGTAAAATAAATCTAACAAAATTCGTTATTTTTCTTATTCATAGTTCTGTACGCGTTGATTTAATACACCTTTGGTCTTGAAACGAATCTTAAACTGAACCTGGGATGGTAAACATCACAAATTAAATTAATGAGCAATTTAATGTTATCAACGCTAATAAGCATCTTAAAACATCGTGAAGAATTTATCGTGAAAGGTATAATCATTTTATAGTATTTCGCTCGATTAGAATTAACGATAAATTTATTCTCTAGTTCGAACGGCTTGATAAACATAATCTGTCTTTCGCCCTTTTGCTCGTACTTCCAAAGATATTTCTGAATCCATCGTTGATTTATCTTACTTGCAGAACCGGCAGCGGCAGCGTCACGATTCTAAGTGCGTCGTGAAACAACGAGATCGCGTGAGTCTTGCAGGAGTGCGGAAATAATCTCGATTTCGAGCAACTGCGGTGATTAAAGGCGTTCGTGGAATCGCCTGTAGATCCATCGTTTCAGTTACAACGTGTTCTCTGCGTCTCTCTCTCTCTCCTTTATGGTTTTGCTCATTCTATATGTTATCGCTTTCTTTATTTCATTAATTTTATTATTACGTATTTTTTTAAGTTAGATTTCTTTTTACTTTGTATCGTTTTTAATTTTTTTTCTTATTACTTGCGCTTTTTCTGTCGACAGTCGTATTCACTTATGTTCTTAAAGGGCTTATCTTAAAGTAATAATATATGCTTCATATCTCTCTCTCTCTCTCTCTCTATTTCTCCGGAGAACTCAAACTCGTCTCATCCATTTCGCTTGAAACACGACGAGCGCAGGAAAGCATGGCTAAAAACTCTATTTCTCCGGGAACTCAAACTCGTCTCATCCATTTCGCTTGAAACACGACGAGCGCAGGAAAGCATGGCTAAAATGGGCAGACCTAATCGTGCTGGCCTTGCGATCGCCTTCGGCGATTAGTGCCGTGCGCGTAGAAATATGCACGCAGACGCGGGCGGCAAATGTGCAACTTCCTGAGACACGAGATAAGCTCGTTAACAACAAACTTGTATGCGTGCACACCCGAGGAGTGCGGCAAGTGCTGCCGATAAACGCGACGGATCATTTTCAGCGCGTGTCCAATCTAAACACCATATACGCGATCTACGTGCGTGATTGGAAGTTCAAGTAACGCAAGGATAAGACCTATCGTGTTACAAAAGTTTTACAACAGTCGCAAAGCTTTTTGTTATAAACGCCATTTTGCATTTCGCACGACTGATGCGGTGCGTTATTCTAAAAATAACAATAATATATTTTTTCGTATTGGCGAAAATTACATATCGATTCGGAAATGAGGAAAATTAAAAATCAAAGTTGTCTCGATGGATCGTTCACATGCCGGACCTAAAACCGATCGGCGGTTATCTTAATCGGGTCTTCATTGCGAGCTGGCGAGGATCACCGTTAGGCCTTAGGGTCGTCGTTGTCGTTTCTTAATTATCCCGTCGTTAGAACTGCGGTCTGCAACACCAGGCACGCTTATCACGCGTGAATTCTCACGCTCGGAAGCAATTTCTCGCGTACACTGCGCACTTCCGGCTGATCGATGCCGATAATCGTCGCGATGATGAACGACAAAAATTTATTACAGACACGTGAGCGCCTCATATTTTTTTACACACATCCTGCTAACTACAAAACTTCAGGATATTCGCGATATCCATCTTATGACCGTTTCCGCCAATGCAGATAACTTCTATCTCGATTCGACTTATTCTTCATCCTTTTTTAATTTTTAGAACTAGAAAAAGATGAAGATTAAGTTAGATCGAGATTAAAGTTAATCTACATTGACGGAAACAAGCATAAGATGGATATCTTGAATACGTGTATGCATTACATATACATGAAATATATGTTTTGAGATCTTGTAAAGTTCCACGTTGTTACGTACGATAATTTATGTTACTCAAAATAAAACTGTATATAATTCTCTGTCGAACCTCTTTTAGGAACATTGCTTTAAGTGTCTGGCAATGATCAACTGGCATGTCGAGCTCCACTTGTTGGTTACACGGCTCATGTCGAATGACTCACGGCGCGATTGGAAGTCTAATTACGTCTCATGTAAGATTTCCCTGATGGAGGGAGATCGGTCGCACGCTTGGCACGGGTCTAGGACTGGTCGATCGTTTAGAAAACGATCACCCTCGGAATTGCGATAAATCACTACGGGTAAAATCGCTGGTAAGCGAGACGCTGGCGTGGTGAAGCCACAGTAAAAAAAATAAAGAAAAGGGTGATTCACCTTCTCTCTCTCTCTCTCTCTCTCTCTCTCTCTCTCTCTCTCTGTTTCTCTCTGTTTCTCTTCCTCTCCTCGTAGACTGGATCTCGAGAAGAATTAAGGGGGAGGACAAAGACAAGAGATGCGATATGCAAGGAAGCACCTGTCCAACAGCTGCCTCACATATGGCGTACTCGCGAGATTACGTAAGGAGAGTAGGTGCCTTGTTTTCAAACGCCGCGGGTAGAGGCCCTCTTGGAACAATTAAGATGATTCGCGTCGCATTAATCCTGTCGTCAACGGGTCCTTTAAAAGAGCCACCTCCAGACCAATGATTTCTCTTCCACGACAGCTTATATACCGGGACGTGCCGTCTTCCTTTCCGTAAGCGATAAATTAAAATTCTGTCCTGAATCCTTTTACGTCTTTATACCCTCTCGTGAAGGATTATACATACGGTACGTTTCGGATCCTATTATAGGACCGTCTGTGGGTGGCATCTGAATCTCTCATTCGGCTCACGGAGCTCACGCATCTTCGCGGAATGCAATATCGTCCCTCCTCTTTTCCAGCCGTTGGTTGCACAGACGCTTCGACCATTAGTCATCCGCCAATGGGTCCTCTGTCCAGTAACTCACGGCCGAAAAGCCGTAAGTCAACGGAGAATGCTAATAATCTGCTTGTAAGCCCAGATCTCTGGTGTCTGCACGGTCGATCTCACCACGACGCTAAACCTGTCCTCTCCTCGCAAAGACGCGTTTTAAATTCACGCGGAGGCTGCGCTAAAAAAATTTGCCAATGGATAAACGATGGTAATCAAAGTGACACCAAGTTGGGAAGAGAGAATTCCGTGCAAATTTGGACGCCGCAGGCGTCGAGATCTCGGTACGAGTTCGAGGATTAATTCACGACTCGGTGGCTCGCGCGCGAACGGTCTTGGCGAAAGGGGTCCGCGTATCGCATTATGAAAAGGCGTGGCTGCGCTGCACGTAACAATAAAGCCGGTATAATTAAAATAAAAAGGAAAAGGAAAAATGCGCAGCTGCCTGTCGGGCAGACAGCACTCGGCACTCTCAGCGGCCGGCCCACGCGTGGCCGATGCAGCGCCTGTCTCTCCTCGTTGCGAGTTGCATAGATTGTCAATTGAACGATTGAACCACGGTTCATTAATTCTTAATCACGTGCGAAGGCGAATTATCGTGGGACGCCGAAACAAGGAGCTAAACGCGATGGAAAATCGTTAGAAGCGATAACTCGCTCGACGATGGCAGCTAATTAATTATCGCTAATTGGTGGATTATATCAGGGGGATGAGAGGCAGTTGGTATTTTTTTTTGATATAGGTAGTTATTTGAAAACGATGCTTTGACGCTTTAAAAAGTTAAGTATTTTTATATGATCCGATTTTTACGTGATCGTTAAAATGCTAAAGAGATTGATTAATCTGGTTTAAAGGAATGTTTTCTTACAACACCCTCGCGATGCATCAACGTCATCTCTCAAAGAAAGAGAGAGAGAGAGATTCATTTATGTTCCGGGGTTCGAGACAGCGCAAATATAAACAGCGATTAGGGGGTAATCCTAAGTAAACACATTCGGTGAAGTGGTTGAGAGTCGCAGGCAGAGAGTGTCGGAAATAAAAGCGACAACAGCATTGAGTGTCAACGAATTTCTTTGATACTATACTTCGATAATACTGTTGAATGTTTTCTTCTCGATAACTGATTTGGGTCTAACTTTGAAATTTGACGTGCAGCTCGAAGAGACGAATCTTTAAACTCACAAATACTTATAAGATTGCACAAAAAATTCAAATGGTCGAATTGATAAAACGTTCATCATGAAATGTAGAGAGATCCAGGTTTGTGAATTCTGGTTGGGATATTTTTCGTAATAAGTTCTTTACAGTGTATTAAGATGTTCACCGAATTAACATCGGTATTATTAAATTGCTTTTAATTTAGGACTATGTTGCAAGACGAACAAATGATCGGCACGCAGTTTGCTTAAATTGCAAATTGCAAGATTCACGCAAAAATGTTATTAGACATTCGCTTTGATTGAATATGATTTTCTTGGCTTATTTGTGTTAAAAAATTCAAGTATCGAAAGCACTCTTTTTCATATTTGATATACAGATCGCACTTTACCTTGTTGATTCATTGCCGGTGGAGATCAAAGTGAACCTTTCGATTGGTGGTGAAGAGGCCAGGATGATTAAAGTTTGCGGGTTTGAAGAGCACAAGGGAACCTTGAGAGGCGTGCGCGCGCATGTGAGAGAGAGAAAGAGAGAGAAAGACAGTGATCTCGAGCAAGACGTGTGGCATAAAAGGTGAAAAGGCGCCGCCCACGAATATCCTAAGAAGAAGGGCGCTATTCCGGCTGAGAACTAGGATGATGAGCAGTGATTGATTTGAATTAATTTTTTTCGTTGATCATTTTTTAAAAGAAATCTTCATTAAGTTCATATTAATGCGTTCGCGCACAAATGAATTAGAAACTCTTAACACCCTCAACCGCTACGATAAAATTATTCAGGAATTTTTCTCGCATTTCCTGCATGAAAAAAACACTTTTGCTAAAGTATCTAAAAATTTAGCTAGACACAAATCTGAATCAAAATTTAAACTTTTAGATACTTCAGCAAAATCGCTCTTTCTATAATAAATCAAATTATCGCAAGTTGAAAATTCTTAAAATTGAATTAAAAAATTTAATTAAATTCTTCATAAAGTCTTATTTTAATCTATGATGTTCCAATCAGGAAACTGGCGGTACTTTTGAGAGACCGCTATCTCCCGGGACGACCGCAAAGGTCTGATCCCAGAGTCGATCACGAATGAAACGGATGTCTTACGGCGTCCGTTTGTCGGTGATTCCACGGTGCCGTGAGCTAGATCCGAGGATCGAGTGATTTCTGTACCCGGCGAGGAGCCCCCGTGCCCTTTCACGATTTCCGTGAAATCAGAATAAAAAGTTGTAACTGTTGGCCGCTGCGCCGTAACCCGAGATCTGTGTATCCTATGTGTCTCGGTCCGTATCGCAGCCACGCTTTTAATGCCCGCGCTCGACGAAGGAGAACCACGAATAACAACGACGCGCGGCGTTTTTCTCGAAATACTAATATAAAAGGCATTTATTCTGGCATTTATTCCTTCACGGCCCCTCATTAGAAACGAATGTCGGTAGGGGCAACAAGAACACGATCGCGTTAATTACCAACGTCGAGACTATTTAGCGGGAATTTGAAGGATTCGTTAAGTATGTCAGTAATTGCAATTTTTAGCGTCCAATTAGGTGTAGATGTAAAATTTATGACGGATTGATATGCTATTTTTCAGACACGGTCGAGCGATCTAAGAATGGCATAAAGAATCAATCGATCGGCAGCATGTGCTATGTGATAGTCACTGGACGCAGTCTGTTATGGACGCTCTTATCTCTGGCAGCGTTGATGGCAGTTTTATCAGGCCTCATCACTCCCAGATGGCTTGTAGGACCACCGACCATTAAGGATACAAGTAAGCAGCTTCTTCAATTCAAATAAAGTATATTTCGAAATCCCCCCCCAGTTGTTTACTATCGAGATAAATTGTAGTGAACCATTAGGATCGACCAGCTTCGATTAACTTGATCGATCAGCATTATTTTATTACATAATACGAATAAAACTATCAAATTATATAATTATAATCTAAGTATATATATCTAAGTAGGACAAGTTATTATGATATCAAAATAATGTTAAAATAATTCCAAAATGATTATTAAGTTTTTTTTAAATCATTTCCGATTTTTCATTTTAGTGTCACTTTGATGTTATAGTGACTTGTTGTTCTGCTTGGATAATTATAAAACCAAATTAATTAATAGAATTAATTCTATTTAATGTACCGAAAAAGGATATTAAAAACAACGAACTGTATATTAGAAATATTATTTTAAGTTAATTGTCGTTTAAAGATAATCGGAGTTTGTCGAAATAGCCCTTAATATCGTCAAGCAATTCATTGCCTCAAAACTTTATAGAAAACGGCACGGAACTATATACACCAACCGTCGGGATCTTCAATCGTTGCACGAGATTATTCGGCAAGACGCACTGCGCGAATTTCAACATCGACGGCTTTGCGACGGACTCCAACGTCTTCCCGGGATGCTGGAAGGCGTCCCTGTTTTTCCTGTCCGCGGGCCTGGCGGCGATGTCGGTGACCGTGATAGCCGCCCTGCTCGGATGCTGCGTGCAGAGCATCGGCCGCAAGAGCATCTTCAATCTGGCGGGAGTGGCGCAAGCCGTTGCCGGTAATGTTGCTCTTCAACGGAGGCGAGGATTGAGATGATGGGATGACGAAACGATGAGACTCCGACTATAAGCTTCTTAGCTCGCGGCTGAAATAATCCTTGAAGTGATGGGCGATGTTTTTCATAAAAAGATTTGTATTTCTTTTTCTTTCACGTGTAGTGGGATTTAGGTCCCAACAATTCTTCCTTAGATACTTATATATACAACGTTTGCTCTAATATGTATAAAGCTTGTTGGCCTTTTCTCAGCGTGACATTAGTAAGAATGACGTAGATCTCAGAAAGCAATGATCGCTTCGTTGCAGCTGAGTATTCCACGTGCGTAATGTGCTTTCAGTCTGACAATGGTATCTCGAGAGTGCGAATGACGCAACCTCCATTGTGACGAAAGGTTGTGCCCGGAATAATCAACGAATATATACATGCCTTAAAAAGCGATCCCATTGTCACGATTCTACAAATCAAATAATCGGGAAACGCATCTATGCAAAGCGTACTTTGTATTGTCGTTCTAGTCTCGCACATTGATTTTTATAGGAATACTGTATCTTTTTGGGATGATTCTGTATCCTGCCGGTTGGGGTGCTGAGAGAGTACAGAGGATCTGCGGTCCTGAAGCCGATGCCTTCTATCTCGCAAACTGTAGTCTTGGTAAATTAAATTAGAAAGTTATAAAATTAGTTTTTAAAATCGGATTTCTATATTTTTCTTTAAGAGACGGGGTTCTTAAATAATCACAGTTATAAAAAATATCAGTTCTAAGAATTGTGGTAGCCATTGTTCTCCAAGCAAAACAGGCCACGATAATGTAAAAGGAATCGTGATTTTTGAAATGAAAATTTACTTTTAATAATCATTTTGAAGCTATTTTGATATTGTTTTGATGTCATCATGATTTTTTTGTTTAGATTCTCGTTTACTACGCAAAAAAAGTAAAATAAAATTAGATTAGTGTTGACCGAATTAAATTAAAAAATCTATAAAATATAAAAAAAAATTAATTTGATTATATAATTAATTACTAATAATAATGATATGATCACTATTATTGATTATCAATTTAATTTACTAGATTATTATTCAATTTAAGACTGCGTTTCAAAACTGACTGTGTTGACGCGCAGTTGGAAGTGCTGGAAACTATATATAAATTTACTAAAAAAATATTAAGATCCAGTCTCGTATATATAAAGTGTTTTCTTCTTATTTGTACTAAAAAAGATCGTTTCTTCCAGGTTGGGCGTTTTATAGCGCGGCGATCGGTGTCGCTCTCACCTTCGTCTGCGCCGCTTTTAGCGGACAAGCGGAGAAGTCGACGGCCAGTGACAAGGTCCAGGATAAAATGAACGAAGGAAAGACCCTAATATGCTTAGCCTGAGCATGCAAATAAAATCAGCGAGGGGTCTGGCCTCGCCATGTAATGGGTGCTACGGTGTGAAGCGTTGAAATGGGATACTAGAAGAAAACCAGTGCAACCAGAAATATTCACCTCGTTGTGTTCATCGCGCAGCAGAACGGAGACGAAAGTTTTATCGTGGTTGAAATTGTTGCACGAATAATTTAATTATGGGTTTGCGAGGGAAATGGACATTATTGCTGAATGTCATACGCGACGTATTGTACGCATGAAGATCAAGTATCGGATGTACCGTCTTCCCACACTTACTGCCGCAATTTATACTGACGCCTACGATGCCCTGCAGAGAATTCCTATTTTATATCTTATACATGTTTTTATATGTTAAAGAAAAATATAAAATAAAATGTGGATGTTTTTTTATTCACTCGATGTGAATAAAGGTGAATGTATTCTACTGTCGCAACGAAAGAATATATCTAATGATTTCTCAACATTTGTTAGCTCTATTAATTTTTCACGCTGTTTCCAGGCACACCTGATTGATAAATATATATAATGGAATTTATTCATTTTATTCTCAACAAATTTCGTGAAATTCGGTCGAATGGTATAACTTAAATAGGTATATGTATATGAAATTATCGGCTGTCAGCCGATTATGTACACACATATAAATAATGAAGGCACCAAGGGAATCAACAATCAATAAATTATCCGGGAATTTGTATGAAAATTTCGAATAAGACGAGTGTAATTGGTAATTATAATAAGAAATGTAACATTATAACAAAATCGCGATTACAGTTCGTGTGTGACGACGCGCGTGTGATTATTTACTTAGAGTATGAGTGTTATTTGGTTGATGACTTGCCGTTAGAACCGCTGACCATTGATCGGACGCCGAGGAGTAACGCTATCGTACAACTACGCGAAGAAAAGTGTATCGTATCATGACGAGAGATACTCTTGTCGCAGGAATGTCAAATTCGGCGGATGTGACACGTACGTCGATCACAGTCGGATTCTCGTCGCAGAGATACGTCACGATAATGAGGATATTATCAGCATCTGCCACACATTCGCATCCGATATACGTCTCTCTCCCTCTCTTTTTTTTTCTCGACAAACGTTTCGAGTTATGTGCAATATTCCATGATTTATCAAATATAATCATCTTACAAAGAATCAAAAAGTATATCAGCCATCGAGTGCTCCTGACGCAATGAATCTCGTACGCGAAACCTGGAAACATCATATTATTGAGAACGGAATTAAATTATACGTCCATGTTTCGCGCGGGAGATGTGAGGGTGTAACTACACATGGTCATAATTAGAACAATAATAATAAAATAATATTTATCGCCGTGAGGCGCGCAATATATACGATAATAAGAATAATAGGAATCTTTTTACTCCTAACTGTTGTTGACAATACCTCTCAACGGGGGAAACTTTATCGACGTCTGATAGAAAAAGCTATTAGGCGAACACTTGGCGTAGAATCAGCCTTGTGCAAATGTGAATATTCATTAATTCTATTTACATACATAAGCTACGTAATAAATTGCCTGTCTAGGTTAAGGAAATTGCGAATTATCTATCCTGAATAAATTAGTAAATAATGCATTTTTTCGCCAGAAAGTATTATATATATCAAATCATTATATATGTTACAAATTCTCAAATTCATTTCTTTATCCTTAACCTAGACGCGCTGCATTTCTCTTGATTTTTAAAATGCGACTGCTTTCCACTAGAGGATTCTTGCGGGGCCACATACCTTCTTTAGTCGCTACAGTTTCTAACTTCTGCCGCACACACGCAACTTATTACTATTTATATAAATATAAGTTAATAATGTCCATGAAGAGACACGTAATGTAGAAAAACAATTTGATAAAGTGCTACAGTAAATATTTCCACTTTTCCTTTATAAAACATCTCTATGGACAAGAAGCGACACATCATCGTCGTGTCGCATTATTGCGCTAGAATGCTCGGGATGACACGTCGAAGCTCGATGAAAAAAAAAGATGAGAAATTTCTGCAAAACGTAAACACCTGCCCTTCATTAATGCGTGTATATATCCTTTTATCTGCAGTAGTATTAAATTTTTAGCAACTTCAACACATATTACATGATCTATCTGCTTAATACTTTCCTGTTCCTCGCCGCGCATAACTCGCGTACAATTCACGCGTGCACGCAGCGAAAGATAATATTTTGAATGAATAATTATGTAACAAGCGAATTTGATTCTTTTTGCCGAAGCTGAATGCGTTACCGTCTCGTGTACGAGCTAAGCCCTTTCTTTCTTTTTCTTTTCGCGTTCGAACTGACGGTCTATATACTCTAATATTTCTTAAGAGCCGCAATGACGAGCGATCGTACCGCTCGGTCAAACTCGAACTCAATTTATCGTTACGTTTCGGGAGCAAAGATCTCGACGGAATTGTCGACATTCTGCGCGTTGGAGCGCATCGCTCGTCTCCGTTGTTCAATCATTTGTCGTCGTGCTTGCTCCCTCGCCTCGCGCGCCTTTTTGTTTGCCTCGCTGTTCGCGGTCGGTTTCGCTTTGTGGACTGGTATGACTCGACGTTTACCGTTCTGTTGCGAGGCTGACGCGGTTTTCTTGTCTGGCATGACCTATGTGCATATAGAACAAAATGTCGAAGGTGTAATCGCGAAAAATTAAAATATTATACAAGAATTTGATTTTTATTGAAAAAAAGGAATATAAATTGAAAAATTAGATGTCGATTCCATATCAGCAACAATAATATTTGCTCATACCTCTTGCCATTGTGACTTCCTCAGTTTCTCTATCTGGTCAAAGAGTTCGTTTACTTGAACAACCTGTAGCATCACCATGTCCCAGAAGCCAGCCAAATCTTCGTTTGTCGTTGGAAATTCTTCACCTGGCACCTGATTCTAAAATATCAAGATATGAGCCGCTAGTTTTATTATTTGTTTGATATTCTAAAATACCGATTAGAAATTTTCTTACGATATTCTTTTGACATAATCCTTCAAACTGCTGCATCTTCTGCGAGGTTAACAATCTAGCTTTTCCTGCAGCAGATCGCAGCTTACCAGCGGCCTCTTCTGGCAGTGCAACAGTATCGCCGCTGGCTAATTCGGCCTCTGCAGATGCGGCCAACGATAACAGTCTATCTGTCTCTTGTTTCAATAACTGAAAGCACAATATGTATGAATTCTTATTGCCGAGAATATAAGTATTTACATCGCGTAATATACGCATTTATTCTCCAATTACCTTCATAAAATAATGACCATCTTTCTCTTCGATTACTTTTTCCGCTTCTTGAGCTTGTTTCGCTATGTTCGTCGAACTGGCGCTGGGTTCTAATACAGGTAACACTACTTTCGGCGCGGCTGGTTGCTGATCAGGTATGTTTTTACTAGTCGTATCACGTTGCGGTATGTCACCTTCTATGGTAATCGGAATCCTTCTTATTACGCTGGTCTGTGAATTTACAGTTGTTGGGGAACTCATCTGCTCTGTTTTCCGTGTCACTGGCGTTATCCTGAAAACGTGAAAGTATTTCGTTGTCAAATAGAAAAAAATTTAATAAACTAATTTCTATTTTACTTATAAAACATAGAGTTCACCTTTGTAATGGCTTTATAATTTGTTCCGTGCCGTCTGTAGGTTTTCTACTACTGACTACAGGGAGCTGTGCTCGAAATTCCGGGCGCAAATGTCGCAGAACAGGCAAATTTTTTAACGATTCCTCCGTGTTCGCGTTGTCTGCCGAAATGTCATTGTTATTACTTGATTTATTGAAACTACTGTCGCTGGTGTTTAGCTTAGTGATGCTGCGTTTGAAGAAGAAACCCTGCGCTAGAGCACCTGGACCGTACAACCGCTCCACTCGCTGTTGAATAAAGGATTTCTCGCTGCTTGACGAAGTGTTTAACACTTGATTTTCAACTTCTACTGACGAGCCATTTAGAATACTAGTATCGTTAAACGATGCACCTGAAACTGCAAAATAAATGGAAAGAATTAAATTAAAAAATTTTAAATAAGTATATAAAATATAAGGAATAATATAGAAGAGTTAATTCGCTTTCTAGTAAGATATTGGTGCGTACTTTTAAATGATTATTTAATAATTGATATAAAAATATTGTTTGACGCCAAAAGCTTTAAGCTTTTCAGAATCTTTTTTGCTAACAATAAAGAAAATCCAAAATAAAATTTATAAGAAATAGCAAATAAAGGAAATATACTATAATATATAACAGAACTTGCAAATAAGACAGTACAAAACAAACTAACTAATAACGCACATGTATCTCTTATATACATCGAAAGACAACAATTGTTAAACATCAACAGTGGTGTCAAAACATAAATAAATACGAGCCAATGTAACATGACCTATTGACATGAACTTAATAAATTAAATATCATATTCTGTATTTTAAACTTATTTAATACAGAATAATGTGCATCATTAATAATATTATATTCACTTGTACATCGAATAAATTCGAACAATATTACAATTATTTTACTTAATATACATTTGTAACGAATGTAAATTATATCGGATTACTTGCTTTTGAAAGAATTTTTCATCGAGGGCATTAACTTAAATAACATTATAATTTCCCGAAATCTTATGATCTATAACTGTGGGACTTTTGGGGGGAATTCGTTCTCCTTAATACAAATAAAAACTTGAGGCAATATATGTCGAAATTAATTCGTAATAATAAAAAACAGAATAAGTTTTTAAATTCAGTTCAGAGAAAGTATATGAAAAAAATTACTTAAGAGCTATTAGGGAAATAAATTTGGCATATTAATTTTATTTCTCTAAGTTAATATATTAAAGTTATTATGAAAAAGAATTTTCCTTACGATTAGTGATGCCTTGCTTCGGAGAGGAGAAACCTGTCCCCATAGACTTGTTCTGTTGTCCGCATGACATCATTGGCGACAATCCGGGACTCCGTTTGCTAGCGGCAGTGCTCGTCCTGATGGGACTGAGTTCGGGAAACGTTGGGTGCAACGACACTGCTTTATCGACTTCCGAGTAACCCTGGCATGTCATGCTGATCGAATTTCTGCTCTCCATGTACGTCTCAACCTTGCACTCCTCCTTCACGCCGTTCGTGAATCCGTTTTGTCTTTCCATCGCTAACGGCGATATCGACTGACTCTTAGGCGGATATTGGGGCGTCGGAACGTTGAGATTCTCGTTGGATCTATAATTTTTCAGATATTTATCTAATCGAGATTCGCGTGTACATTTTACTGATTTTACACGGTGTAAAAGTGACGCGAGTGCCTCACCTGAAACCTGCAGGACTCGTGTCCCTCGTGATCAGCCTCGTGCCAGGACTGCTGTCTCTCGAACGGAATCCTTCCCTCAATTTACTGTCGTACCTGGTGATTCCCGAGTAGCCGCTTATACTGCACGCCAATCCCAAGTAGCTAGGCTTCTTCGCTGTCGTCAGCTCTGGCTCGGGGCTGCCATGATGAACATTGCTGGCGTTCAGCTTCTTCTCATCGGGGGTAAGATGTGACTTCTGCAATGTCTCACTGCTGCCGTTTGCCAATTTCTCGGGTGGCGACACCGGTTCACCGTTGCACGATAGGTTTAGACTGTGTAGAGTCTTTTCGGACACGGAGTCCACGGTGTTTTCTGAAAGCGAAAATTTCGATCTAACATTCGCGAAAATTCTTCAATCTTCTTCGGCTCCTATTTTTAAAAATTAAAAACGAGAGATGTAGAAATTATCATGAACGTTACACCGCGCGGTCGAAAGAAATATTACAATCCTGTAAGTTTGGCTGCTCTATTACTACAACGATCACGAGGTAAAGTTACGTAGATTGAACCACAACAGAATATTTAAATTTGTCGACATTCGGATCTTTCTGTTACGCTTTTATTTAGGTTCACGAAATCTCACGATTCACTGTGCTCTCATTAACGATGAACGTCTGCGAGCCAACTGCTCGGCTGACGAGACATTCACCTTCGAAAAGCGCTGTCGCCCACGCACTATGCACACGCCAGTTCGCGTTATACGAATTTTATTCGCGTCATAGTCATAACGTGGCCTTATTTCCTAGGAACCGGTGGAGCGGTTCCAAGCTCGCTACGCCGAAACAACCGGATGGAAATTCAGCTTGATCAGAGTATACTCGAC